CTTTCTTCCCCCTGACCTGCCGCCACTCTTGAATGAGCGCATTGTTTCCCAGACACGTTGGCCTTTCGCCCTCCCCTCAGCAGGATGGAGTGACGCATCCCCCTTCGGTTTTCGTAAGGCTTCCGCAGGGGCAGTCGGAACAAAGAGCTTTGTGTGGTGAGGAGAATCGAGGGCGTCCAAGGGTGGTGGTGGTGGTTGAGCCGGGACTTGCGGATTTGGGGGACCGCGAGTCCATTAAAAAACAAGCCACTCCGAACGGGATGCAGGCATCGCTAGTGGTCAGAGCATTGGGACAGCCCTGCTGGGTCAAAGCCCACCCAGTCAGTCGACCTCTCCTCTCTGCATATTTGTCTAAAGCGATAGCAGCCGGTGGCCATCATGTGTCAGGGAGTTCCACATGGTGATGCGATGAAGGACTTTCTTTTTTAAACCTTGGGGGGGTATTTTAAACTGTACAAAAATATAACAGATACAAAATTTTTAGCAATCAATTATATAAACTATTAACAGCATGGAAGAGGGACTTTCTATGGTCTGCCCTGAATCTGTTGAGCAGATGAAGATGCCTTGTACTCAATCAGACCATGAGTCCATCATGATCAGTATTGTGGAACTCGGACTGGCAGCTGCTCTCCAGGGTCTCAGGCAGAGGTCTTTCCCATCACCTCCTGCCTGGTCCTTTTTAACTGGAGATGCTGGGGATTGAGCCTGGGACCTTCTGCATGCCGAGCAGAGGCTCTGCCACTGAGCCACAGCCCCTCTTGACAGCTCTCCAGGGTCTCAGGTGGAGGTCTTTCCCATCACTTCCTGCCTGGTCCTTTTAACTGGAGATGCCGGGGATTGAACCTGGAACCTTATGCATGCCAAGCAGAGGCTCTACCACTGAGCCACAGCCCCTCTTGACAGCTCTCCAGGGTCTCAGGTGGAGGTCTTTCCCATCACTTCCTGCCTGGTCCTTTTAACTGGAGATGCCGGGGATTGAACCTGGAACCTTATGCATGCCAAGCAGAGGCTCTACCACTGAGCCACAGCCCCTCTTGACAGCTCTCCAGGGTCTCAGGTGGAGGTCTTTCCCATCACTTCCTGCCTGGTCCTTTTAACTGGAGATGCCGGGGATTGAACCTGGAACCTTATGCATGCCAAGCAGAGGCTCTACCATTGAGCCATGGCCCCTCCCGAACCTTAACCATGATCTTCATTTTGAGGCCACTTTCAGCTGAAATATTAAGAGGGAAGGAGCAAAACTGTCTACTTTCTCTCTCCCGTACAATTGAGTTGGAAGGGACCTCCAGAGTCATCTCGTCCAACCCCTGCACAATGCAGGAAACGCACAAATGCCCCTGCCCCCCACACTCACCCAGTGAGCCATGTTTCATGTCCAGAAGATGACAAAAAAACCTCCAGGATCCCCAGTCCATCTGGCTGGGAGAAAAATGGCTTCCTGACCCCAAAGTGACGATCAGCATTTCCCTGGGGGTGTAAGAAAAGGCCACAAGAACTAAGCACTGAGGCGACCCTTCCTGCCCTCCCTTTTCATAAGCCGCTCTGAGACTCCTTTGGGTAGTGAAGGGCGGGGTATAGATCCAATGTCCTCCTCCTCCTTCTCCTCCTTCTACTTCTCCTTCCTCTTCCTTCTTCTCCTTCTCCTCCTCCTCCTCCTTCTCCTTCTTCCTACCGTGCACCTTGGAGTGGGAAGGGGAGGGTCAACTTCTAGGGGGGGGTTCACCGTGTCTCCTTCCTTGCAGGACGGGTGCCCAAGACCCCTTCACCATGCCAGAGGGAGCCCGCCGGGGCAGCAGCAAGAAAGCCGGTAAAGCAGGTGGGTACCCTGGGCCCCCTCCCCCAAAAAGGTGGGAGAGCCGCCGACGCACACCCCCAGAGCCCAAGCAACAGGCCGGGCCATTCTCGCCTAGAAACGGAGACGCAAGGCCCTCGGGTTCCGAAATCCCATTTCGCTTCCGAAATTCACACCTGTCTGGCTCTTCGGTTGACCATTCCCCCCCCCTTTTTTTCTTTTTGCCCTTTTCCGCCCCTGTAAGCTGTGATGCTTTAGATGTACATGGTGGGGGGGGAGGAAGGGGGGGCGGGGGAGTGCAGAGAAGGCTCCCCGGCCTTTTACTTTGCGCACGGCCTCCTCCCAGAATGCACTGCAGCAGAAACCACAGCTTCAAAAGGTGAGGGGGGGGGAAAGCCACAAAAGGATGTTGAAGAGCCGGCCGGGCGTATTTGAAGCAAGAGAATAACGCTCGGCATCAGGGGGGTGGTTGAGCACGGAGGGAGATGGGGGCAGGGAAGCGGATGTGGCGTCCGTCCACTCCCCCCCCCCCCCCTCAATGTGCCCTTCCATAGTGAAATAATGACAGCAGTGCGCTCTAGGTGGGCTCTTCGGAGGGAGCGGGTGGATTCTCCACGCGGTCTGACCAAGGTGACTCTCGGAAAGCATACGCCCTGGGTACCTTGTCGGACTCCGAGGCGCGACTGGACTCCAGCGCCAGTGTTCCCTCTAAGCTGAGTGAGTGTGAGCTCGCTCACAGTTTTCTAGCCTCCGGCTCGCACACCTTTGTCTTTGCTCGGGGAGGAGGGCTCCAGAGCAGACTAACGGATGCAGTCGCCGAATCGCTGGCTCACGACTTTCATGCCGGCAGCTCACAAAGTAGAATTTTTTGCTCACAAGACTCCGCGGCTTAGAGGGAACCTCGCTCCAACCCAACCGCTAACCCTGTCGGCCTTTCCCCCGCCCCTCCACAGCACCCCGGCCCTCGTCCGTCTCTTCGCTGGGCGGGATCGGCTCCAACATGGCGTCGGACCCCATCCTGGGCAGCTGCACCTCTGTCAACACCGTCTGCTCAGACAGCGACCGGCCCGTCAGCCTCAGCTCCTCCGCCTCCTCCGCCTCCCTGCAAGATGGCCAGAGCGCCTTTGGCGGCGGGGGCGGGCTTGGGGGCTGCCCCGCCTCATACCCGGCCCAGAACGGCAGCGACATCAGCCTAGACCTCACGCCGCTGACCCTGCTGGACGGCCCGGGGGAGGCCCGGAGGGGTCCCAAGCCCTGCGGCTGGGCCGCGAACCCGGGGCGGAGCAAGGAGCGGCGGGCGAAGCTGTCACACCTGGAGCGGGTGGTGCTGGAGATCGTGGAGACCGAGCGGGCCTACGTGAGGGACCTGCGGAGCATCGTGGAGGTAGGCCCGCGGGGGGGGGCAGCCGGAGGGTCACGGCTTTCACAAAGGGGTCTCTAGAACGAGCCACTCCCCGTTTCCGTCCTCGCAACAGCCCTGCGAGGGAGGAGAGACCGAGCGAGACGGACTGGCCTGGCCCTCGTGGCAAATGGCTTGAGCCCGGCCCTGCTGGATCAGGCCAAGGGTCTACTTCGTCCCACATCTTCTTTCTCCTGGGAAGTGGAGTGGCTAAGAGTGCTGGACTACTATCTGGGAGACCGGGGTTCGAATCCCCATGCGTGCCATGGGAGTTCACTGGGTGACCTTGGGCCAGCCATGGTCTCTCCGCCTGACATACCTCACATGGAGGTTGTGAGGATAAAATGGAGGAGAGGAGAACCACGGAAGCAGCTTTGGGTCTCCGCCCATCCAGTCCCACACTCTGTGTCACACAGTGGCCAAAACCCAGGTGCCATCAGGAGGTCCACCAGTGGGGCTACCACTTAGCTACGACGCCTAAAATGCATCTGTCACGCGTTCCTGTACCCTGAGAATTTGCATGAGTCTCCACTGCAGTGTTCCCTCTAAGCTGAGTGAGTGCGAGCTAGCTCACAGTTTTTTAGCCTCCGGCTCGCACCTTTTTGTCCTAGCTCAGGAAGGAGGGCTCCAGAGCCAATTAATTCATGCAGTAGCCAAATCGCTCGCTCACAACTTTAATGCCAGTAGCTCACAAAGCAGAATCTTTTCTCACAGGACTCCAAAGCTTAGAGGGAGCATTGGTCTCCAGCAGAGCTATTTTGGGGCAGGAACGCACAGGAACGGAGTTCCGGCTGGCTCCCGAGTTGGCCACGCCAAGAAGGAACTCATTAGCATAATAGGCCACACCCAACAGCAGAAACTCATTAGGATTGGCTACATTAGGAGTGTGTGGCCTAACATGCAAAGGAGTTCCTGCTGCAAAAAAAAAGGCCCTGGGTTTTGACCACAAACAAGGTAAACAGAATAAGAAGCAAAAGGTGGGTGTGGCTGGATGACCACACTTCTGGTAACATGGGGGTGCGGCCTAATGGGCTAATGAGCTGTGCTGTCAGGGTGTGTGGCCTAATATGCTAATGAGTTTCTGCTGTTGGGTGTGGCCTATTATGCTAATGAGTTCCTGCTGGGGTTTTTCTACAAAAACAGCCCTGGTCTCCAGTAAGGCAGAGGTCATGGCCACACCTTATGGCAATACATCTGATAATTATATGGTTTAATTTTACTTATTTCTTTAAAACAATTTCAGCCACGCTTTCTACCTTATGGGACTCAAGGCCGCTTACCTTGTAAATAAAGCAACAATTATATATATATATTTTTAAAAACCCACACACATAAAAGACCACAATTTCACATTTCCGTTAGGACTGCCGATCGATAAAAACTAATGAGTCAAATGCAGTCCTGCATAAAGCTGCCTTCAACTACCCCCCTGAAGATCGAAGGCGAGGGGGCCAGGCGCACCTCCCTGGAGAAGCTGTTCCGTGGTCGTGGGGCTGCCACTGAACAGGCCGTCTCTCGTGTGCCCCCCCCATGAGTTTGTGAAGAATCTGTTGGGGTATGAGAGGAGTATGCGCATGCGCGCTCTCTCTCTCTCTCTCTTATGGGCAAAGTGCACACAAAGCTTTTTTAAAAAAATTGGGGGGAATTTAAAAACCCCCCACATATTTTTTTTTACCATTTCAGATTTTTCTGCAAACCTAGGGGGTCCCCCAAGTCTGCAGAAAAATCTTCTTTTTATCAGCGCGGCCCCGATCTGTGGATTTAGATAACCGCAGATGGGGGACAGAGTTCACTATTCGATATATAGATGAGAAGAAACAGACAATGCCCTTTTCCTGCGGTTTGTCATTGACCTCAAGAAGGAATGGGTCGCGTGTTGTGTGCCCAGGTGGCTGATATCTCCTCCCTGTGCCCCTCCACAGGATTACCTGGGATGCATCATCGACTGTGGACATCTGCCACTCAAGCCGGAACAGGTGAATACTCTTTTCTGCAACATCGAGGACATTTATGAGTTCAACAGGTGAGACTTGGCACCTTTGTGCATCTGGTTGAGGGGAAGGGAGTGTCTGACTGAGGGCCGAGACTCTGGGAATGTGCAGAGTGCTTTTTGAGAGTACAGATTCCTGGCTGATGCACATGACCCAGTCCAGGGCTATAAATCGGTCGGCTACCACCCTCTCGGGCTTCAGGGAGACAGAAACTATTAATAAAAAGCCCAGTAGCACCTTTAAGACTAAGAAACTTTATTGTAGCATAAGCTTTCGAGAAACACAGCTCTCTTCGACAGAGGCATCTGATGAAGAGAGCGGTGTTTCTCGAAAGCTTATGCTACGGTAACATTTGTTAGTCTTAAAGGTGCTACGGGGCTTTTTGCTATTTTGCAGGAACAGACCAACACGGCTAAGTCCTCAGAAACTATTAGCTGGCTGTTCTGGTAACCAGGACACTTCTATAAGTGTCTATAAGACCAGGATAATCAGCTTCTATAAGGACCAAAAGAAACTCTAGTGTGAGAGGGAAACGGATGGGGAAGGCATAAGGAAAGCGTTGGTGCAATGGGGCAGTGTGGTCCCCTCCAGAGGAACTGGTTGACCCCTGTGTGAGACAGGATGCTGGACTAGATGGACCCTCACTGGTCTGATCCAGCAGGGCTCTTCTGAGGTTCTTATGAAGGCCTTGGCCTCTCTGCCCTGCTGTTGGCCCTCCAGAGGAACTGGCTGGCCACCGTGTGAGACAGGATCCTGGACTAGATGGACCACTGCTCTGATCAGCAGGGATCTCCTGATGTTCTTATGAAGGCCTCGGCCTCTCTGCCCTGTTGTTGGCTCTCCAGAGGAACTGGCTGGCCACCGTGTGAGACAGGATCCTGGACTAGATGGACCACTGCTCTGATCAGCAGGGATCTCCTGATGTTCTTATGAAGGCCTCGGCCTCTCTGCCCTGTTGTTGGCTCTCCAGAGGAACTGGCTGGCCACCGTGTGAGACAGGATGCTGGACTAGATGGACCACCGGTCTGATCCAGCAGGGCTCTTCTGAGGTTCTTATGAAGGCCTCGGCCTCTCTGCCCTGTTGTTGGCCCTCCAGAGGAACTGGTTGGCCCCTGGGTGAGACAGGATCCTGGACTGGATGGACCCTCACTGGTCTGATCCAGCAGGGCTCTCCTGATGTTCTTATCAGGGGAAGGCTTCGGCCTCTCTGCCCTGTTGTTGTCCCTCCAGATGGACTGGCTAGTCCTTGTGTAAGACAGGATGCTGGACTAGATGGACCACCGGTCTGATCCAGCAGGGCTCTTCTGAGGTTCTTCTGAAAGCTTCAGTGCTTCCATAGTCCTGGCTTCGAGTGGTCCATGGTGGGCTGCAGTATCCTCCGCATTGGCAGATCCGACCGTAGGTCTACGTAGCCAAACATCCTGTTTCAGCCTGCGGCCAACTCGACTCCTTGGGAAGTCCCAGGCATCTTGCCAGCTTGATATTTGCCTGGATTCCTTTCGCTGCCCTTCATCTCCTAGGCAAGGGGAAAGTGGAAGAGTCTCTCGTATGGTACTAAGAGGTCATTGTCCCCAAAGCTGTTAACAAGACAGGCTCATGCGTAGGAGGCAAACAGAGCCCAGCCACTATGGTTAAGTTTGCTTCTTAGACTGGAATGACCCTGGGCTTGCCAACCTCCAGGCGGGGCCTGGAGATCTCCCGGAATTTCCTGGGGAAGCAGAAAAGGCCACACACCCCTAATGTAGCCAATCCTAATGAGTTTCTGATGTTGGGTGTGGCCTATTATGCTAATGAGACTAGATGACCTGCAAGTTCCCTTCCAACTCTAACATTCTATGATTCTAAGGCCCCAGCATCTCCAGTTAAAAACAACCAGGCAGTAGGGGATGGGAAAGACCTCCGCCTGAGACCCTGGAGAGCTGTAAAGAGGGGACGTGGCTCAGTGGAAGAGCCTCTGCTTGGCATGCAGGAGGTCCCAGGTTCAATCCCTGGCATCTCCAATTAAAAGGACCAGGCAGGAGGGGATGGGAAAGACCTCTTTGCCTGAGACCCTGGAAAGCCATGAAGTGGGGCTGTGGCTCAGTGGCAGAGTGACTTCTTGGCATGCAGAAGGTCCCAGGTTCAATCCCCGGCATCTCCAGTTCAAAAGGGCCAGGCAGTAGGGGATGGGAAAGACCTCTGCCTGAGACCCTGGAGAGCTGTAAAGAGGGGCTGTGGCTCAGTGGAAGAGCCTCTGCCTGGCATGCAGGAGGTCCCAGGTTCAGTCCCCGGCATCTCCAGTTAAAAAGGACCAGGCAGGAGGTGATGGGAAAGACCTCTGCCTGAGACCCTGGAGAGCCATGAAGAGGGGTGTAGCTCAGTGGCAGAGCCTCTGCTTGGTGTGCAGATGGTCCCCGGTTCAATCCCCGGCATCCCCAGTTTAAACAACCAGGCAGTAGGGGATGGGAAAGACCTCTGCCTGAGACCCTGGAGAGCAGCTGCCAGTCTGAGTAGACAATACTGACTTGGACGGACTGTCTAATTCAGTACAAGGCAGCTTCATGTGTACGTCTGTTTCTTTTCTCCAGCCTTATCCAGTTTCGCGGTCACACTAGTGACCGAACAGTACATACCTTAACAACCTTAAATTTAGCTTTTCGTTTGCTTAGACAAATTCACTGCAAGCGCAATGTGAAAGGACATATATATGTGTATATCTCCAAGGCCGTTCTCGGGGAGGGGGAACTAGCCAAGTTTCGGGGGGGCCCTCGGAGTGTGCGGCCTCTCTTCCAGGCCTCAGAGATTCACGATTGTTTTTGCAGTCGGGGAAGACGTCGGGCTTCTTCGGGAAAAGGAAATGCTTTGAGCGCTGGAATTTGCTGAGCGTGTAACTTGAGCGGGGCTTGAGGTGAGGGGCTTAGAGAAGGGGGGCTTCCACCGCCGCCGTGTGATTTGGAGGGGCAGGAGAAGATGCCGGCTGGGGGTGGCAGTTCTTTGCAAAACGGGTACTGCCGGGGTTAGACCCTGGGAGGCCGTGAGTTCAGGGGCCGGGGAGGGATCGCTCCTCGGCTTTCTAGAGAGATGTGCCGGGGTCTGTGCATGTCCACAAGTCACCTTGAGCGTCCCATGTGTGCTCCCGACCAGAGAGTGGGTTTTCATGACTGCAGGACGGAGGGCTGTCCGGCTCGTGGTGGGAAAATACCTGGATATTTTGGGGGCGTGGCCTGCGGAGGGTGGGGTTTGGGGTGGGGAGGGGAAGGACCTCCGGAGGGTACAATGCCATAGAGCCCACCGTCCAAAGTGTCAACTGGCTTCAAAGCAGCCTTGAAGCTACCACTGAAAATGCACCGACACGACTCCAGCTGTTCTGGTCCACAGAAATTCCCTTTCTGGTTGCCTGTAAGCAACGGCCACGGGCACAGACGGCTTACAAAGGGGAGTAGACAGATTCATGGAGGACAGGTCTACCAGTGGCCGCTAGCCATGGGGACTAAAGAGAACCTCCACATTCAGAGGCAGTCAACCTCTGAATCCCAGCGCCAGGAGGCAACTTCAGCAGAAAGCCTCGGCCTCTCTGCCCTGTTGTTGGCCCACCAGAAGCACCAGTTGGTCACTGTGTGAGACAGGGTGCTGGACTAGAGGGACCCTCACTGGTCTGATCCAGCAGGGCTCTTCTGATGTCCTTCTCAGGGGAAGGCCTCGGCCTCTCTGCCCTGTTGTTGGGTATCCAGAGGAACTGGTCAACCGCTGTGTGAAACAGGATGCTGGTAGATGGACCATTGGCTGACCCAGCAGGGCTCTCTGATGTTCTTATGAAGGCCTCGGCCTCTCTGCCCTGTTGTTGGCCCACCAGAAGCACCGGTTGGTCACTGTGTGAGACAGGGTGGTCAACTAGATGGACCACTGGTCTGACCCAGCAGGGCTCTCCTGATGTCCTTCTCAGGGGAAGGCCTCAGCCTCTCTGCCCTGTTGTTGGGTATCCAGAGGAACTGGTCAGCTGCTGTGTGAAACAGGAGGCTGGACTAGATGGACCACTGGTCTGATCCAGCAGGGCTCTCAGATGTTCTTATGAGGGCCACGGCCTCTCTTCCCTGTTGCTGGCCCTCCAGAGGGACTGGCTGGCCCCTGTGTGAGACGGGATGCTGGTCTAGATGGACCCTCACTGGTCTGATCCGACAAGGCTCTTCTGATGTTATTATATGGCGTCCTCGGCCTCTGTGCCCTGTTGTTGGCCATCCAGAGGAACTGGTTGGCCACCGTGTGAGACAGGAGGCTGAACTGGATGGACCACTGGTCTGACCCAGCAGGTTACGAGTTGGCCATAGCTGAGCCTGTGCCAATGTGATGCAGTTATCCTGCCCCCCCCACGCCCCCACTTATGAAAAGGGGTCTCTCTACTGTGTCCTAAGACGACATTTGGGGATGTCTCAGATTGCACGGTGCATCGTCTTTGTTCATTTGCTTCCAGGCCTTGGACAGTAGGCCTGTTTGACCCCCTGGGGATGGGTGGGAATGACACTGCTGAGGCAGAAGGCTTCTCAGGTAGCCAGGGTGCATGGCTCGTAGCCATTCTTCCTAGCCCACCTCTCTGCCTGTCCCCTCTCCAACTTCTCCTGTTGCTTTTCCTTAAAAAAACAACAAAAAACGGAAACTGAATGGTTGCCAACTGAATCGTTGCCAGCATCTCCCTCCACCAACCTGCCCCCTCCATCTGGGTCTGTTTAAGAGCTTAAGCGGAACTCGGTGGGGGGTACATGGATGGAGGCTGGAGGGGGGGGGGACAGAGCCGATTGGCTCTTCCTGACACCAAAGTAGACCCCCCCTCTTGCAATGTGATACGGTTAACCCTTTCAGTGCCAGGCTGCGCGTGCTGAAGTTGGATAAGGGTGTTACCCGCTGCTTCTCTCCTGCTTTCCCCGATGGCTCAAAAGGCATACAGTGTCTCATAGGGATGACTTCCAGGGGTGGTGAGGGGTAGTGGGTATTCTCTGCTAAATTTCCCTCTCCCTTTTCAGTTCCTTGAGATTTCAGCGGCAGACTCTTAAGGCAGGGGTTAAAGCTGTACTGACCTCCGTTCACCAAGTTCTGCATTCACAAGTTACACATGAAGACGCACGAAGCTGCCTTCTACTGAATCAGACCCTGGGTCCATCCAAGTCAGTATTGTCTACTCAGACTGGCAGCTGCTCTCCAGGGTCTCAGGCACAAAGAGGTGCTTCCTGTGCCTGGTTCTTTTCCAACTGGAGATGCCGAAGATTGAACCTGGGGCCTCCCGCATGCCGAGCAGAGGCTCTGCCACTGAGCCACGGCCCCTCTTGACAGCTCTCCAGAGTCTCAGGTGGAGGCCTTTCCCATCACCTCCTTCCTGGTCCTTTTAGCTGGAGATGTCAGGGATTGAACCTGGGACCTTCTGCATACCAAACAGAGGCTCTACCACTGAGCCATAACCCCTCTTCATGGTTCTCCAGGGTCTCAGGCGGAGGTCTTTCCCATCACCTCCTGCCTGGTCCTTTTGAACTGGAGATGCCGCGGATTGAACCAGGGACCTTCTGCATTCTGAGCAGAGGCTCTGCCACTGAGCCACGGCCCCTCTTGACAGCTCTCCAGAGTCTCAGGTGGAGGTCTTTCACATCACCTTCAGCCTGGTCCTTTTAAATGGAGATGCTGGGGACTGAACCTGGGACCTTCTGCATGCCAAGCAGAGGCTCTTCCACTGAGCCACGGCCCCTCTTGACAGCTCTCCAGGGTCTCAGGCAGAGGTCTTTCACATCATCTATTACCTGATCTTTCACTGGAGATGCTGAGGATTTATTTATTACTTATTTATTTCGTTAGACCTATGGCCCTCCCTTCCCACATTGTAGCCTTGGGGTGGGTAGCAACATATATGTACCTGCAGCTCATGCAGATTTACGATATCAAAAACATGTTACGATAATCCATTTGAAACCCATAGAACCATCGTCCTTATTTCATTAAAGGATCAGCATTAAAACAACAATGCGCCTCAACAGCAGTTAATGTGGTCCCAGCAGGGGTCATTTAGTAGAAAAAGAGGTGCAGGGGCTCATTAGCATAACTCATTTGCATATGCCACACCCCCTGGCATCACTGGAAGTGTGTCAGAAGGCAGCACCCACCGCTCAGGCTCCACTGGACTGTTGTGGATTGCTAGCTATTAGGGGGGGACATGCAGATCTGTCCTCGCAGAGGAGGGAGAGCTTGTACCTGAATAAAACCTGGTCTTAAAGGTGCCACTGGACTGTTTTGGACCACGGGGCTGGGGGGGAGGGCTCTGCAACTTACCTGGCTGCCTCTTGCTCTGACTAAGGGCTGCTGAGAGCAGGGGGTGTGGCTTGTTGCATGTGCCCGCCCCCTGGGCTCTTTACTACCGGAGCTCCACTCCTGTGTGCTCCTGCAAGAAATGACCCAGGGGTCCCAGTCCGGCTTCTCGGATCTGCAGTCACTGAACCTGGGACCTTCTGTATGCCAAGCCGATGCTCTGCCACTGAACCACAGCCCACCCCTGGGTGTATGAAACAGAAGTCCACCACGGTGACTAAATTGAACCTCCGTGTTCCGTAGCACTGCATAGTTGGGCTCTGTCCCCCACTTGTAGGTTTCCCGTGCGCCCCCCTTTGTGAAACAGGAATTTGGGCCAGATGGACCACTGGTCCGACCCTGCACATCTGCTCTTGAGCACTTTTGCGCAGCAAGCGCCTTTCTCCCTTCCAAAATGCTTTCTGCCACCCCACTTTTCCTAGCGCTGCTCCTGAAATTGCAGTAAACGCTGCAGAGAACCCTGCGAGGTAGGCTGGCATTGTTAACTGGGCATGGGATTGGGTAAGCAGAGGGGTAGTGAGGGGTTGGCAGGGAGACGTACAGAATCGTCTTGCAAATGATCTTCAGTATTTGCCGTGTGTCGTCGTGTTCCTGTAAGCAACGGCCCGTTTGGTGTAGTGGTTAAGCCAGTTTGGTGTCGCGGTTAAGTGATCTGGGAGAGCCGGGTTTGATTCCCCACTCCTCCACTTGCACGTGGCTGGATGACCTTGGGCAAGCCACAGTTCTGTCAGAGCTGTTCTTGAAAAAGAGCCGTTTATGTCGAGAGCTCACCGGGTGTCTGTTGTGGGGAGGGGAAGGGAAAGGAGTTTGTAAGCCGCTCAGACTCCCTTGGGTAGTGAATAGCAGGGTATAAATCCAATCTCTTCTTCTTCTTCTTCTTCTTCTGTTGGGGTGCCAGCTGGGAAATGTCCATAAGATTCAATTGGCACATAATGCAGTGCCGTGGCAGCTCCGCAGGCTTCCACTCTGTTTCCAGGCCCGGTATAGAGTCTTGTTGCTGACCTTTGACATTCCTCAGTGGTTTGGGATTGGACCACCTGCAAGATTCCCTCTACCCCTCTGAGCCCAGGATCTAGATTTGTGCACCCTCCCTGTACGTGAGATAAAGTGGGCAGGTCTACGAGCCAGGGTCTTCTCCACTGTGGCTTCCAAAATGGTGTCACGCCTCAACAACAAATTTATTCACAGCAAAAAGCCAGCCCTCTAATACAACAAACTAACTCAAACTAACTCAAGCCGCCCTGAGCCCCACGGGGAAGGGCGGGGTATAAATGTAATAATAAATAAAAAATAAATAAATAAAACTAAATTCATACAACCACAAGCATAAATGAAATATATAAAAATAATATCAAATAGAGCATGCATGTAAAACCTGGTAAGTCCTGTAACAAATTACATCTATTCGTCTTTCACACCTCAGATATTGGCCTCATCCCTCCTCTCCAGTTTGGTTATGTGCGCGGACTCTAATCTGGGAGAACCGGGTTTGATTCCCCACTCCTCCACATGCAGCTGCTGGATGACCTTGGGCAAGCCATAGTTCTGGCACAGCTGTCCTTGAAAAAGAGCAGTTCTCAGAAAGCTCTCTCAGCCCCACCTACCTCACAGGGTGTCTGTTGTGGGGAGGGAAAGGGAAAGGAGTTTGTAAGCCGCTCTGAGAAACCTTCGGGTAGTGAAGGGCGGGGTGTAAATCCAATCTCCTCCTCCTCCTCCTCCTCCTCCTCCTCCTCCTCCTCTTCTTCTTCTTCTTCTTCTTCTTCTTCTTCTTCTTCTTCCTCTTCCTCTTCCTCTTCTTCTTCCTCCTCTTCTTCTTCTTCTTCTTCTTCTTCTTCCTCTTCCTCTTCTTCTTCTTCTTCTTCTTCTTCTTCTTTTCTCTTCTTCTCCTTCTTCTTCTTCTTCTTCTTCTTCTTCTTCTTCTTCTTCTTCTTTTCTTCTTCTTCTCCTTCTTCTCCTTCTTCTTCTTCTTCTTCTTCTTCTTCTTCTTCTTCTTCTTCTTTTCTTCTTCTTCTTCTTCTCTCTGACCAGTGAGCTGCTGGAGGATTTGGAGAGGGACACCAGCGCGTCCGCTATCGCAGAATGTTTTGTGCAAAGGGTAAGTGCCTCTCTTCCCCTACCGTGGGCTTCGGAGGGGTTAAAAACGGTTGTTTGGGTTGTCCCTCGCTCTTAAACATAAGGGTCCCAGAGCGGTCATGGAGATGCAAAAACACACACGTGTTTTTTTTCCGGGAGCCAAAAGCAAACCTGGCGAAGCCATCTGTAGTGTCGCGGGACAGAGGACCGATTCCCTCTATAACCCGCTGAGTGAAGCTGCAGTGCCTCTGGTTAAAGAAACCGCGTGCCCTTCGACGCGCTTCAGTGCTGTTCAATGTCCTCTTGCAGAGTGAAGAATTCGACATCTACACCTTGTACTGCATGAACTACCCCAAGTGAGTACGAATTCCAGGATCGCATGGACTCAGCACACCTTTAAGGACCGGCGGTCACTTCTGCTAGACCCCCCCGGAGGGAGAAGCAGCCCCCCGACATGTCTGCCTCTTCTTTCTCCCTGCTGTGCCCTATAACTGCTCCTCCGCAAGGACTGGGGGACCCCCCCCTTCCCCATTTTACCCTCAGTGGCCAGGCATTTTACCCTCACCGACACCCCTGTGAGGTACGCAAGGCCAAGAGCATGTGTTTGGCCCAAGGTCTTCCGTTAGGGCTGCCAGTTGTGAGCCAGCGATTTGGCCGCTGCATAAATCAGTCTGCTCCAGAGCAGTGTTCCCCCCAAGCTGAGTCAGTGTGAGCCAGCTCATGGTTTTTTAGCCTCCGGCTCACACGTTTTTGTCTCCGCTCAGGAAGGGAGGGCTCCAGAGCCAGCTAACTGATGCAGCGGCCCAATCGCTCGCTCACAACTTGAATGCCAGCGGCTCACAAAGTGGCATTTTTGCTCACAGGACTCCACAGCTTAGAGGGAGCGTTGCCCTGGAGCCCTTCTTTCTGAGCTGAAACAAAGAAATCTGTGAGCCGGAGGCTAAAAAGCTGTCAGCTGGCTCACACTGACTCGGCTTAGAGGGGACACTGGTGGGGGGCATGGGGCACCCTCTCCTTCCCTCGCGTCTTCCTCTCCCCTCCGTTGCCAACCCCTTTCCCGCCCCACCCCCCTCTATCGCAGGATTCCTCCAAAAAAATCACCCTCTCTCTCTTCTCTCTCCCCCCCCCCCAGCTCTGTCTCCGTCCTGCGGGAGTGCATGGCGGACGACTCCCTGGCCCGGTTCTTCCGCGAGAGGCAAGCCACTCTCTCGCACTCGCTGCCGCTGGAGACCTACCTCCTCAAGCCAGTCCAGCGGATCCTCAAGTACCATCTCCTCCTACAGGTCAGCACCTTCCCCGGCCAGGGCCGTTCAAAATTGTCGGCCCTGCAGGGCGGGGCAGTCGCGTTGGTGTTGGTGGAAGCCCTGGCCTGGACGGCCCAGGCGAGCCAGATGTTGTCAGGCCTCAGAAGCTAAGCAGGGTCGGCCCTGGTTGGAATTTGGATGGGAGACCGCCAAGGAAGTCCGGGGTCGCTACGCAGAGGCAGGCGATGGAGAACCACCTCTGAACGTCTGTTGCCTTGGCCTGGGTAGCTCACTCTTGTCAGATCTTGGGATCTAAGCAGGGTTAGACCAGGTTAGTCCTTGGATGGGAGACTGTTAAGGAAGTTGAGGGTTGCTTTGCAGAGGCAGGCAATGGCCAACCACCTCTGAACGTCTCTTGCCTTGACCTGGATGGCCCAGGGTAGCTCACTCTTGTCAGATCTTCAGAGCTAAGGAGGGTCAGCTTTGGTTAGTACTTGGATGGGAGACCGCCAAGGAAGTCCGGGGTCGCTACGCAGAGGCAGGCAATGACCAACCATCTCTTGCCTTGACCTGGATGGCCCAGGGGAGCTCACTCTTGTCACCTCTTCGGACCTAAGGAGGGTCGGCCCTGGTTAGTACTTGGATGGGAGACCGCCAAGGAAGTCCGGGGTCGCTACGCAGAGGCAGGCAATGACCAACCATCTCTTGCCTTGACCTGGATGGCCCAGGGGAGCTCACTCTTGTCACCTCTTCGGACCTAAGGAGGGTCGGCCCTGGTTAGTACTTGGATGGGAGACCGCCAAGGAAGTCCGGGGTCGCTACGCAGAGGCAGGCAATGACCAACCATCTCTTGCCTTGACCTGGATGGCCCAGGGGAGCTCACTCTTGTCACCTCTTCGGACCTAAGGAGGGTCGGCCCTGGTTAGTACTTGGATGGGAGACCGCCAAGGAAGTCCGGGGTCGCTACGCAGAGGCAGGCAATGACCAACCATCTCTTGCCTTGACCTGGATGGCCCAGGGGAGCTCACTCTTGTCACCTCTTCGGACCTAAGGAGGGTCGGCCCTGGTTAGTACTTGGATGGGAGACCACCAAGGAAGTCCAGGGTCGCTACGCAGAGGCAAGCAATGGCCAACCATCTCTGAACGTTTCTTGTCTTCACCTGGATGGCCCAGGGTAGCTCACTCTTGTCAGATCTTCGGAGCTAAGGAGGGTCGGCCCTGGTTAGTACTTGGATGGGAGACCACCAAGGAGGTCCAGGGTTGCTATGCAGAGGCAGGGAATGGCCAAGCACCTCTGAACGTCTCTTGTCTTGACCTGGATGGCCCAGGCCAGCCCGATCTCATCAGATCTCGGAAGCTAAGCAGGGTCGGCCCCAGTGAGTCCTTGGATTGGAGACCACCGAGGAAGTCCAGGGTTGCTACACAGAGGCAGGTCATGTCAATCCCCCTCTGCTCATCTCTTGCCACGAACACCCTGTAGGGTCACCACATGTCAGCTGTGACTCAACGGCAGTTTCCCATCGTTGCACTTGTCTTCTGAGGCTACGGTTTATCTATTTTTACTAGTTTGATTTAATGTTTTTAAGTGTGTCTTGTTCTATTTTTCAAAACGGCGGGCTTTACCCTGATGCAGTTAAACTGTTTTGGGAGAAAGCCGGACGCGAAGGCTTTCCGTGACTCGATGCAGATTATCTCTCCGCCCGGCCTGTGCTCTCCCTCCGCAGGAGCTGGCGAAACATTACGAGAAAAGCAGCCCCGGTTACGAGGCCGTGGAGGAAGCCAGCATCACCATGACCGCCGTGGCTTGGTACATCAACGACATGAAGCGCAAGCAAGAGCACGCCACACGGCTAAAGGTACCGGGGGGTGGGGGGTAGCAGAGGATCGTGCGGCATCCTCAGTGAAATTGGAACTGGGCTCCGGAGCCATTCAAATCCTGTGCCGATGGCTCAAATAGAAAATACAAAAGTGCGTTCTTATTGGCTTCTTCTGAACACGTGCGTGCAGCTGCCTTCTACTGAATCAGACCATCGGTCCATCGGGGTTAGTATTGTCTACTCAGGCATCTGTCTACTCAGCCGCTCTCCAGGGTCTCGGGCAGAGAGGTCTTTCACATCACCGTCTGCCTGGTATTTTTAGCTGGGGATGTTGGGGATTGAACCTGGGACCTTCTGCATGCCAAGCAGAGGCTCTTCCACTGAGCCTTGGCCCCCATCAGTCCATCCAAGTCAGTATTGTCTACTCAGACTAGCAGCTGCTCTTCAGGGGCTCAGGCAGAGAAGGTCTTTCCCATCACCGTCTGCCTGGTATTTTTAGCTGGGGATGTTGGGGATTGAACCTGGGACCTCCTGCATGCCAAGCAGTGGCTTCTTTCACTGAGCCACAGCCCCTCTCTAAAGCTCTCCAGGGTCTCAGGCGGAGGTCTTTCCCATCACCGTCTGCCTGGTATTTTTAGCTGGGGATGTTGGGGATTGAACCTGGGACCTCCTGCATGCCAAGCAGTGGCTTCTTTCACTGAGCCACAGCCCCTCTCTAAAGCTCTCCAGGGTCTCAGGCGGAGGTCTTTCCCATCACCGTCTGCCTGGTATTTTTAGCTGGGGATGTTGGGGATTGAACCTGGGACCTCCTGCATGCCAAGCAGTGGCTTCTTTCACTGAGCCACAGCCCCTCTCTAAAGCTCTCCAGGGTCTCAGGCGGAGGTCTTTCCCATCACCGTCTGCCTGGTATTTTTAGCTGGGGATGTTGGGGATTGAACCTGGGACCTCCTGCATGCCAAGCAGTGGCTTCTTTCACTGAGCCACAGCCCCTCTCTAAAGCTCTCCAGGGTCTCAGGCGGAGGTCTTTCCCATCACCGTCTGCCTGGTATTTTTAGCTGGGGATGTTGGGGATTGAACCTGGGACCTCCTGCATGCCAAGCAGTGGCTTCTTTCACTGAGCCACAGCCCCTCTCTAAAGCTCTCCAGGGTCTCAGGCGGAGGTCTTTCCCATCACCTCCTGCCTGGTTCTTTTAAACCGGAGATGCTGCCGGGGATTGAAGTTGGAACCTTCTGCATGCCAAGCAGAGGCTCTTCCTCTGAGCCACAGCTCTTACTAGTCCTGGGACTGACGGGAGCCCTGGAGCTCCATCACCCCAGATTGTATCCATCGCCTCCTTGAAGCGACACCCAGCATCTCTGCACGACCACAAGGACAACATCTTGTGTTGCGTTTGATTGTCTGCTCGGCTGTCAACTCACTGGGGAGCAAGTCACCCTCGCGCTTGGTCTCGGCTTACCCTGTAATAGGAGGACAGTAATATTGGCTTCCTTTACAGGATAGTTGCGGAGGTCACGATAATAAGATGCACACGAAGCACTTGAAAATGCCTAGTGGTATCGTCCTGTTGCTTGCTTATCCTGCAGATCTGTGGAATTGCAGCCCTGACTTGGATGGCCCTGGCAAGCCCGAGCCCGTCAGATCTCGGAAGCTAAGCAGGGTCGGCCCCGGCTAGTATTTGGAAGGGCGACCTCCAAGGAATACCAGGGTCATGACACGGAGGCAGGCAACGGCAAACCACCTCTGAAACGGATCTTGCCTTAAAAACAAGTCTAGCTCGCCACCTAGTGGTGCGTAACGCTAAAAAAAAAAGAGCTAGAACTTCTGGCCGCCAGACAATCTTAGGATCTCCTGGCTATTCTACACACAATGCCGTACAATAATTAATTAATTATTATTATGTGGAAGTGCAGGATGCAATGTATTATGATTGTAATTGTAGTTATCATTATTGCTGTTGTTTTTAATAACAACAAAACAACAAAAACAGAACAACAACAATAATTATCCATACCTTTTAATCCTTTCTCCGAAAGAGCTCAGAGCAACACACCCTGTTCTCTCTTCCTTTGTTTTATCCTCACAACAATCCTGTGAGGTAGATGAGGATGAGAGAGAGAGAGAGGGAGTGATTGCTCCAAGGTCACCCAGCAAGCTCTCATGGCAGTGTGGGGATCTGAACCCAGACCCTGTTGACACTCTAATCACTGTACCACGCTGGCTTATATAATTATATATTTATTTATATTATTAATCTTTATGCAGTGTCATTATACAAAGCTCTTTAAGCCAATTCGGTGTAGTGGTTAGGACCACGGACTCTAATCTGGGAGAACCTGGGTTCGATTCCCCACTCCTCCACATGCAGCTGCCGGGGTGACCTTGGGGCAGTCACAAGTTCTCTCGGAGCTGTTCTCTCAGGAGCAGTCCTCGAAAGAGCTCTCTCAGCCCCACCTACCTCACAGGGCGTCTGTTGTGGGGAACATAAGAGCATAAGAGACGCCAATGTTGGATCAGGCCAAAGGGAAGGGAAGGGAATGGAGATTGTAAGGCACTCTGAGACTCCGGATGAAGGGCGGGGTATAAATTGAATCTCTTCTTCTTCTAAGTTGGAAGCAAACTCGAGAGATTCCCTGCCACTAGGCATTGAATTTTTCTGCACTCTTATTTTCAATTGTGAGCCTCTACTGCGTCAAAGTTCCCCCCCCTTTCTTTGCATGTGTGTTACTCCCTCTTGTGGTCACTTCGATATTTCAAGGCTTGTTGCCCTGCACTTTAACATTGCGGGGAAATAAGCCAGAGATACAGCGATGATATATCGAACTGACCACTAGAGGGAGCACAACACGTGTGTAAAATAAGAGAGCGGAAAAGCCCACCGCTGCCCATCCCAGTCTAGCGCCCCTCTCTTCCCCCCCCCGTGACCTGCGAAGTGCCTCTCGTCTTCTGTAGCCACCCTGACCCCCCCCCCCACTCTGCCCTTCGCAGGAGATCCAGGGGCTGCTGGTGGGCTGGACGGGCCCGGACCTGGAGGCCTTTGGGGAGCTGGTGCTGGAGGGGCAGTTCCGGGTGCCGCGGGCCCGCAAGGAGCGCGTCTTCTTCCTCCTCAGCAAGGTGATCCTGATCACAAAGCGGCGCGGCGAAGGCTTCGTCTACAAGAGCCACATCTTCGTAAGAAGGGGCAGAATATTTGGGGAGGGAGGGAGGGAAGGGGGAACCCGCATCTCCGGAGTTCGGGGGCATGCCCAGTTGCGGGTCGGTAGGAAGATGGGAGAGCTGATGGCGTGTGAGCCTGTAGAAGGGGACACGGCAGGCGGAGGGACCCCCGTCGCGCACAAGGCACAAAAGACACCGTCAATCAGTGTTCCCTCTAAGCTGAGTGAGTGTGAGCCGGCTCACAGTCTTTTAGCCTCTGGCTCACACATTTTTCGTCTCGGTTCAGGAAGGAGGGCTCCAGAGCAAGCTGACTTCTCCAGCAGCCAAGTGGCCCGTTCACAACTTTAATGCCCGTAGCTGACAAAATGGAATTTTTGCTCACAGGACTTCCACAGCTTAGAGGGAGCATCGCCGTCAATCACAACTTCTGTAAAGGAGTATTTTTTTTGTATTGGAAACATTTATCAGCCAGTTTGGTGTAGTGGTTGAGTGTGCGGACTCTAACCTGGGAGAATCGGGTTTGATTCCCCACTCCTCCACTTGCACCTGGCTGGATGACCTTGGGCAAGCCGTAGTTCTGATAAGAGCTGTTCTGGAAAAAGAGCAGTTTCTGTCAAGAGCTCTCTCAGCCCCGCCTACCTCACAGGATGTCTGTTGTGGGGAGGGGAAAGGAAAGGAGTTTGTAAGACGCTCTGAGACTCCCTTGGGTAGTGAAGGGCGGTGTTCCCTCTAAACTGAGTTAGTGAGAGCTAGCTCACAGTTTTTTGTCTTCGCTCAGGGTGGAGGGCTCCAGAGCAAACTAATTTATGCAGTAGCCAAATCACTGGCTCACAGCTCACAAAGTAGAATTTTTGCTCACAAGACTCCACAGCTTAGAGGGAGCATTGGTGAAGGGTGGGGTAGAAATCCAATCTCCTCCTCCTCCTTTCTTCCTTACGGAGCCCAAGGCAGCTCAGAGCAGAGATAAAATGCACAATAAATGTATTCAGAAAACCAAAAGCACAATTTGGGACTGTGAGCGATTTAATGAAATGCGTCCCTAAATAAAACTGTTTTCGACTGCTTCCTAAATATTGGAAGTGGGGGGGGGCAGACGCACCTCCCTGGGGAGGGTGTTTAGAATCAAAGGGTTGGAAGGGGACCTCAGGGGTCATCTAGTCCAACCCCCTGCACTATGCAGGAGATTCACAAATACCTCCACACCCGCAGTGACCACTGCCCCATGGCCAGAAGATGACCAAAAAAACCCCTCCAGGATCCCCAGCCAAACTGGCCCGGAGAAAAATCACTTCTTGATCCCAAAGTGGCGATTGGCATTTCCCTGGGCGTGTAAGAAGGGACACGAGAACTGAGCACTGAGGCAACCCTCCCTCTCATGATCTGCTGAAGTTCACAGAATCAGCATGGCTGTCAGACGGCCATCTAGGCTCTGCTTGAAAACCTCCAAAGGAGGAGAGCCCACCACCTCCCGAGGAAGCCTGTTCCACTGAGGAACCCCTCTAACTGCCAGGAAGTTATTCCTAATGTTTAGCCGAAAACCCTTTTGATTAAATTTCAACCTGTCAATTCTGGTCCTGGGACAACCTAAAACAACTCCGCTCCATCCTTCGGTGCCTGTATTTGTGCAGACCCTTGCAAAAATCCCCGGGAATGGCAGAAGCTAGCTCAAAAGGCATGCTTAGACCTGGTAGGGCTCTGGGTTCGAGTCTCACCTCTGCTAGAGGCTAGTAGTGTTCAGAGACTCTGACATTACTGTCTTGTCACATTTCTGTCTCATCCTTCCTCTGAGGGTCACATACATGGCTCTTCCTTCCCCATTTTGTCTTCACAACAACCCTGCGAGGTAGGTTAGGCTGAGAGAGAGAAAGAGAGAGGGACTGTCCCAGGGTCCCCCATGCCTTTCAGAGGTGAGTGGGGTCTTGAACCCAGGTCTGCACAGTACTAGGCTCTAGCCATAACACCGCCACTGTCTCGTTCCACAAATGAAAACAGGGCCTTATATAAGTGTACACAGCATTTTTCAAAAGCTCTCACAGCGCATCCCTGAAAATCCAGAGTATGCCCGGCGCCCCAAGCAACCGTAATGATGGCAATGTTCCCTCTAAGCTGTGGAGTCCTGTGAGCAAAAATTCTACTTTGTGAGCTCCTGGCATTGAAGTTGTGAGCGAGCGATTTGATTGCCACATAAATCAGTTTGCTCTGGAGCCGTCCTTCCTGAGCTAAGACACAAATGTGTGAGCCGGAGGCTAAAAACCTGTGGGCTAGCTCAGACTAACTCAGCTTAGAGGGAACACTGAATGACGGATGCGCTCCTTGCCCCTTTGACGCTGGCTCTTTCTCCCGGCTCCCCAGTGCTGCAACCTGTCCCTTCAGGAGAACACGAAGGACCCGCTCAGCTTCCGGATCTCTGACCTCTTCATCCCCAAACAACAGCACCTGGTCCAGGTAAGCAGCCGCGTCCCAGGAGAGTCTGTGCCGAGCAGGGGGGAGGGGGGAGGCAGCGTAATTTCCAAAAATATAAAGCTGTAAGGCGCTTTGTTCGTTTTTGAACAGTGGGGATGCCCTCCACCGCACGCACGTTTGAGCGCGTGGTTTTCATCCACGGATACGCTACACGCCGCAGCAGGGAGCGCATACGCCTGTGCCCCAGCTGCTAAAACCCAGAGGGGTGCTTGCAAGCTGTGGATTCTCTCGCACTGATGGGATCTGAGCCTAAATTAGGAAAGGAGATGTCATTGCCTTTCTTCCTACCCCTGACTTTATGAGACAGTTTATTCATTGAGCTGCGGTGGCTCAAGTGGTTAAGACGCTGAACTGCAGGCTGTGGAAGGCCGGTAGTTCAGCAGTTCGAGACCCGGGTGCCGCATGACGGAGTGAGCTCCCGTCTCTAGTTCCAGCTCCTGCCCACCTAGCTGTTCGAAAGCAAGAAATTGCAAGGAGATAAATAGGTGCCGCTTCGGTGGGAAGGGAACAGCGTTCTGTGCGCCTTGGCGTTTAGTCACGCCGGCCACATGACCACGGAAACGTCTTCGGACAGCGCTGGCTCTTCGGCTTGGAAACGGAGATGAGCACCGCAACCCTAGAGTCGAATTCAACTGGCTTTCGAGCAAGGGAACCTTTACCTTATTCATATTAGACACGTGAGAATTTCACAATTCGGAGTTCCCTGGTCCAACGTTTGGAAAGGCTCTGTATTTTGACTACGTACCAAATTTGGAGCTGTCTTTGGGAAACGCCTTCTCTTCCACCTGCTGGTTTGGCTCTCCTTTGAGAGAAGGAGGGAACATCGGTGCCCTCTTCCCCCTTGGAGAAGGCCGTTCAAGCCTGGGCCCCGGCACTTCGGTCGGCCGACCAGCCATGGAAACCCAGCAGCACCACTGGATTCTGTGGAGGAGGGGAGGGGAAAGGTGAACGGTAAAATCGGCGCCCGTGTCCTGGGCCGGAGAAATTTCACACGAGTGCCGTCGAGATGTGCTGAAACGCTGGCCTTCTCTGACGCAGGTGAAAAACCAAGAAGAGAAACGGCTCTGGATCCACTACCTGAAGCGACTGATCGTGGAGAACCATCCGGCGTCCATTCCTCAGAAGGTACCTATGGCCCCGGGGAGGGGAGGGGAGGGGTGACATAGGGTTGCCAACCTCCAGGTGGCTATGGAAAAACGTATGACACTGTGTGGAATAGATGTGTGCTCAGGGCTCATTTCCTGCGGGAGCGCACAGGAGCGGAGCTCCGGCAGTAAGAAGCCCAGGGGGCGGGCACATGCAACAAGCCCCACCCCCTGCTCCCAGCAGCCCTCAGTCGGGCCACGAGAAGCAAGAAGCAGCCAGGTAAGTTGCAGAGCCCCCCCCCTCCGGCCCACCTTCAGGTACAAGCTCTCCCTCCTCTGTGAGGGCAGATCTGCACGTGTGTCCCCCCCCCATAGCTCTCAACAGTCCAGCGGCACCCTCACG